CGGCTGTACCGCACTGGCTAAATTTCTCATCTACAGCTGGGAGACTCGTCGCCCCTGTGAGGCAGACCAAGCTCTAGGCTGTATAAACACACACACAACCCAATTATTAATTATTATTATGTTTAGGTGGCGCCCTCTTGTGGTTTCCATCCGTGACATCATGACTGGGATTTGCCTCGCCGTGACGTCACCAGCTGTTACCCTGGCTACTTACCATCAGGCGGGACGACGAGTTCGGTGGTGTGTTTAAAAAGCACAGTGGAAGCTAGGAGCCATCGCAATCCGAAACTAACACAGTCAAAGTTGACAATCTGACAATGCTAATATGCCCATGGTTTGGCCAATCGTGGAAAGCTGACCGCAGCGACGCTTTTGGTCGTGCACATCGCTGATAGCTGAACGGGGTTCGCCCCAATACAGCTAAAGATGGCGGCGTCCGCCGCATCGCCGCCCATGGCCAGCACCAGCGAAGCACTTCCTATTGGGGAGGATCGGGGGAGATATCTAGAAAGTATCGCAGCAGCAAATATCGTTGGAAGAAGTATGATTCGGGGCCAGAACTGCCGCCAGAACGATCACGGCACGTCGCGAAAGTTCGGCGATGGCGGCCATTGTAATGTTGGTGCCGATAATACTTTTATTCTGTCTCTCTTGTTTGAATTCATGTAAAACGTTCTGATTGTCGTTTTTGTTTTACTTTATAAACATAAACGTTTATTTTATGTTGTTTTAAGCGTTTATAGTGAATTAAAAGTGTGCATATAATTAATTTGTTTCGCTATTAAAAATAAATAATGTGACATCGGTTTTGGTTTCATTTCGGTTTCAACTGTGTCCCTTAACTCGCGTCTTAACTTAGGCTCTTAGGCCTATGTACCGTGTAACACCGGACAACTTAGTTGAGCTCAATGACAGTTGGGATATGTCAACGATCGTTGGCTTAATAATAGTAATCCGTAATCCTCCATTGTTTTAGAGCGCAGCTCTTAGGCGCCCGTTCCCGGCCTGAGCGGCGTCGCCGTCGCCGTCGGCGTAACCGCGAGTAACCCCCGTAACCGTCGTGAGGGTTACGAGGGTTAATCTCACTAGGGTTACCCTCACGAGGATCAGGAGGGCTACGAGGGTTAGTTACCCTCAAATGGGTTACCTTCACGAGGGTCACCCTCACTAGGGTCACGAGGGTTATCAGAGCTACCCTCACGAGGGTCACGAGGGTTACCCTCACGAGGGTCACGAGAGTTGCCCTCACAAGGGTTACTAGGTTTACCCTCACGAGGGTCACGATGGTTACCCAGGTCACGTGACCCCCGGGGTCACGTGACCTGGGGATACCCCCAAGGTCACGTGACCCCCGTTGACGTCATCGCCACTGATGACGTCGACAGTGACGTCACTGATGACATCACCGGCATCCGGATCGTCATCGGCATCATCACTGATGACGTCATCGGTGACGTCACTGATGACGTCATCGGCATCGTCACGTGACCCCAGGTCATGTGATCCCCCGACGTCACGTGACACCCCAAGGTCACGTGACTCCCCAAGGTCACGTGACCCCCAGGGTCACGTGACCCCCGCCCCCCGAGGTCACTTGACCCACCCTCCCAGTACCCTTTCCTCCTCCTCCTCAAGAGCTGCGCTCTAATTCGGCGTTACAGGGAGTTGTAAACGGCTTTCATTTTTTTTTATTTTGCAATCAACCGTGAAGTTTAAACAAAATACCAAAGAGGTCGAAACTTCGGGAGTGAAAGTCCTGTGAGACATAGAGCGACTGCTAACGTTCGGCTGTCCTACTGAGGCCACTAGGATCTTACTTTTGAGGTATCCTCCCGATACATTAATACCGCGTGCACACTATAACTAGGGCTCCGTGTTTTCGGAGTTTATTTTTCGTCAAATTCGGAGAGTGTTTTTCGGAGTTTATTTTTTGCCGAACATTCGGAGTTTATCAGAGTTTATATTTTTTTCATTCCCAATTCTCCGAAATTCGGAGTTTAATTTTGCTGTGTTTCCTATCAAAAATAAGTAAATAAATGATAACCGGATGTAAACGTATGCCAGATAAAAAATGAAACGCGCTTGCATCAATCGAACTATCTTCAGTTGAATTCGGCGTTGGTTTCATTGCCATTGACAATACTAATTTATCCACGACAAATGTCACACACAAGTGGCGCTTTGATAAACGCCGATACCTTATAATCAATAAGCTCCCGAAGGTAGTCGCTAGGAAGCTCGTAGTCATCCCGTCCTATCACAATACAATACAATACGTCAATCTAGCCCGGGGCCGCGCGAGGTGGAGTGGTTGAGGAGGTAATAGAGAGTTTGAACTGCCCCTCTTCCCAATTTTATACAATCCCTATGGTCCATAGCTTTCATTGTTACTAAAACATACCCTTCCCTTTCTCTAAATCACAAATCGCATGGCCCAAACCGGAAACCAAAAGAGTGGCTATTGTCGTGACCCGAATGTACAACGAACGACCCGTTGCCCTGAATCAACCTTGAAGAGACAAGCGGCAAGACCCCTTTTGACAACGGTCCGAGATTTGAAAGATAATTATGGTGGAATTTTCCCAGGACTATTGGCTCTGTGCTGATCAAACTGTAAAAAAAAAAAAAAAATAGTTACTTTTTTTCTGTTGCTTGGGGGGGGGGGGGGGGGGGAGGGGGGGGGAGGGGGGGGGGGAGGGGGAGGTGAGGTGGCATGACACATAAATATTCGGAGTTTATCGGATAAATCCGAATTGACCAAAATTTTACCGGCGGGTGTTTTTCGGAGTTTTTCGGATTTATCCGAAAACACGGAGCCCTAACTATAACGCTTCGATCTCACTTCGGACGGTTCGTCAAAAATCGGTTCCTCAACGGATCGCGCTGGGATTTATTACAGAGGTGCCCCAAGATGGTGCATTCATTAATTGAAAATATGAATAGATAAAACCTCCAGAGTCGAAAAAAAAAATTAAAAAAACTGTTTTTGTCTATGAAAGAAATATCACTAACCTTTTTTTTCCCCGAAAATCATCAAAAAATAGTTCTGGGCTATCTGACGTTTACTACGACTGAAAAATCGTTGAAATGGAAAGTAAAAACAAGTGGCTTACATATTCTTTATTCCATCTGGCCCAAACAAGCTCCACAGTGACAAAAAATATTATTTAAGCGATTTAAGGATAGGAAGAACATATTTTGTAATCTTTCGTTATGTACTAAGGTGAGCTAACGTTCTCACAATTTTAGTCAAAGCTTCCCTTATCTTCGGACACTTCTGTAGTAAATTCCAGCGCGATAAGTTAAGAACCCGATTTATGCAGACCGTCCAAAGGGAGATCGAAGAGTTAGTGCACACGAGTTATATGTAACGTCGGATTAGTAAGTCACATTTAGTACTTTCAATACTTCCATTCTCAGGGACGACCTTCTGAGGCAGTTCAGCAACCACGAAGAAATTTTTTGATGCCACAATGATGTGCATATATATAAAATGGGTCATGGAATACCGCTAAGAAGTAATCCCTGACGTTGGTGACTTCCAAAAACATCCATTAGCTTTCCCTCCATGTGATGGGAGACGCAGAAAAAATAAAGAAAGAAACAACTTTCTCTTTTTCAACTCGCATTTAGAACAAGGGGCCACGTGATCTGGCGCTAACTATATATTAGGGGTGGCCACAGTGACCCGGGGCTAGAGCCGCAGACAAAACTACAAATGTTATTAGAGCCGCAGGAAAAAGACGTAAAAAAAAGGGGAGGGGGGCGACTTTAAATAAGAAACGATATGGAGGGAACGGTCCCTTGCAAAGGGGAAAAGTATAATTGTCCACTGCAGCAAATAAAGACAGCCAGCAAAACATTTCTTCAACCGCTAAGCAAAAAAAAAAAAATAATAATAATAAAATGAATGCATGGTTTGCTAGCCAGCCACTGCCCCTGACGTCCGCTATGGCTATACGATTCGAAATTATTTCTAGAACAATAAGGGAAACAGGGTCACTGGACACATCTACGTGTGAAAAAGAAGTCAAAGTCAAGCTGTGTGTGCTACGTAGTGTAGTACAAGGCTGCCAAGATCGTGTACCTTTTTTTTTTTTTTTAATTCTAGAACTTTTTGTTTTGTGGACACAGCAGGAGAGTGTGGGCAAGCTTACCAGGAAGCCGCGAGCCGCACTTGGACCCGTGAAGAGCGATATGCGGCTCGTGAGCCGTAGTAGTATGCGTTTTGGCGAGAGGGGTTGGGAAGCCGACTGTTGTTGGGGCGTACTTAGACGCCCATGTCACCCGCAGTTTGGCTAACCCTCCCAAACAGGGTCGTCGAGATAAGTCTGGAAAATTCACCATATTCAAGAGAGTGCACAGAGGCAATGATAAAATGAACATCGACCGTTTTTTGGGCTTTGCACGGTCTGCCGTAACGTCTTCCTGGCTGACAGGTTATCTGAACGTCTTGGCAATGCTGCGTAATGATTTGCTTTGGCGACTTTCTGGCACGAAGCGATTCCAGTATTGCTGCTCTCCGGGCGTATTTCCCGCTCCTTTTTGAGCCAGTCGCGAATCGTTTATCATGCGATGATCCGCTGTCGAATCACGAGGCCGCAGAAGCGCAATACGACCGGTTAGCTTTACTGTATTGTTGAGACGAGATTTGGAAAAAGTCCGGAACTATTTCGACCACCTTGTATAGACGCTTTCAGGCACGCCGCCATAACCAAACTCAAGTTTTTGTTTCCTCTTATTCCGTTCGCCTCACATCATTATCGCCACAGCAGGACAGATTACTCCCACTTAGGTGCTGCTGTGTCCTCCTCCCCAGCATAGGCCTTTGTGGAGGCCCGTCAATGCCAGCTTCAGTTGCTCGGCATCTAGGTAAGAAAAGGTAGGCAATGACAGCTCAATCAGGCGCTTGTTTAAAACGTCCCTATACCGTCAGTGTTCATCAAAATCATGCACTGGGTTTAAGAAAGCATAGATTTAGGAAAGCATACGTATGTGTGTGTGTCTGAGTTTTATTAACAGCAGTCGCAAAACAAGAAACCCCTATACACGCTTATATTTCTCCGCACCACGATGTGCATATACACACCAATCAGGCTTTAATCAAGTTAGTCAATTATAATAAGGGCGACCGGAATTTATCAAATGGACATAAAAGCAAAAAAGTGTGGAAACCATTCTTTTCCTTTTTGTTCAATATCTTGCGCCAAAAACGATAGGTATACCGAGTTAATCCTAGCAGCACTATAATATATATACATAGAGATGCTTCACACAACGCAGCCAACGCAGGAGTTTTACGCGCAAGCTCACTCCTCGTAGTTCAGTCATGGAAGGTCGCACTCTTTCCACAACTCCATCACATCACTGCCGGCCGTTTTGGTCGCAATGCGTTCCTTCATTCTTTCGATTTGTTCTGGCAAAAAATGGTTCCTCCAGTCTCCAACTACGCCCTTACGAACGAAATCTCCGGTCATCGGCTTCTTCACTGCCGCTTCCAACGACTCCTTGGTGACTTGCCGCGATTCGTCAGCTTCCACGGCCGGCGGGACATGAATCGTCGTTGACTTCCACGCGTCGTTAAATGCCTTCTTCATATTCGACACGCTGGACATCTCCACGATGCGCTTAAGCAGCGCTGGGTCACTTAGCAACCTCTCGCCGTACTCCTTACCCAGGAAGTCAGCCATCTTCAGCACCCAGGAGGCCGTGTCCTTTTTGAGGTCTTCGTAGGTCAAGAAGAAGACGTTGGGGTCGTTGCGATGTTCGTACCAGGACAACAGATGGTCAAAGTAGTCGCCGAACTCCCCTTTTCCTTCCACGAACAAATCGAAAAACTGGTCGAAGGTACCGTCCTCGAAGAAGTAGGCGGGAAAGTTCTTCATATGGTAGTAGTAGGAGACCCAGCAGTCGTACGGGTTCCTGGTGACGTAGAAGTACTTGGCCTCTTTCGAGTAAGGTTGCTTGTCGAAAGGGAGGTGCGTCTTGATGGCGCCCGGCCTCGGCATCTCTTCGGCGCCTTGAGCTCCGGTGAATTCCAAGAATGGTGACTTGGCCTCGAATTCCACCGTGTCCCTCGGAGGAACGCCACCGCTAAAGATGTTGCAGAGGAGGTACTGCATCCAGGTGGTACCGCATTTCGGGTAGCTCACAATAAACACGTCATCTGGCCTTGGCTTGTAGGCGAGGGCTGAGCGGACGCTCTCGTCGCTGAAGTAGTAGCTGAGGTAGAGTCCTTCGATCTCTCTATAGACCGGAGTGGACTTTCCGGTCGATTGCATCCTCGCTTTCTTGGATCCCGACTACAGCCTGCTGAAACCAGAAAAAAAAAAGAAGAAAGAACAGCCTAGGTGTAGCTTATTAAACTGCTGATAACAACACGAAAATGACCACTCCCCTAACACTTTATCCAGATTTTTATTCGTGAAGCTATATTTCCAATAAATAGGCCCGTTTTTCGAAAGTCAATCAATCAACGTTGTCGGTCGACATTTCTTAGGCACGAAGCGCCTGATTGGACACTAGTCCTCGCCGAATGCTGACGCAGCACTTGTGTCCAATCACGATCGATACGTGCCCAAACAATAACGGACACGGATAATTGAAGCTGCAGCTACTTGATGGCGTGCACCTTTGAAAAGGGTCTATTGCCGAGATCACACGGTCATATCCCCTCTATATATCTAGAACTCGATATATTTTTTTTTGTTCCGTTAACCCAATGGTTTCGTTTACATAAATATTGCGACCGAACCTCATTGGATAGACCTCTTGCAAAATCGAAGCGATCCTAGCGGCGTATAGTGCCGCGCAAGGAGTCTTGGGTAACTTTTTAGCTATCGTTTCGGTTTTGATTTGCCAATCTCAATCCACGACATCTCGTCACGACCAAATACAGTGCATACATTTTCGAATACTTACGTGACTTTCTTTAAACTAACGGCGCTGTCTACCAATAGGGGGTATTCACTGGAAGCCACGTAGAGAACGCACGGCCAAAACCAGCTTACATTAACAGACTGCTAAGACCGGCAATCTTGATGGTGCGGACTGCACGTTGCAAAAGAACTGTGGAAGCTTGCCGTCAGCACGGGGTCAGCAGCTGCACACACAGCTATGGCCGGCAGTGAGTACAACTTATACGGATAGAATGCTGGGGCACGTTTTTGGGATCCCCGAACGTACCAGAGTTTGTATGTAGGTAAACAGAGGAATAACATGTACTGGGTAGATCATCCTGTTCCATCGTCTCAATGTCCAAATGATCCAGTGGCGGATCCAATGGGGGGGGGGGGGGGGGGGGGGGGGCGGTGGGGGCGAACGCCCCCCCAAACGCCTCGCCAGGCGTTTGGCGAATCGGAACTCGCCCAATGGAGTCTTTATGCGAAAAATACACGAAAGCTAAGCTAGCTCGTCCCTTATTGTTTTGCTAGATACTTCGTTGGAGACAGTGATCCAGAGCCCGATTTTTTACGGGCTTTGACGAACATCAAACAGTAGGTATTAAACGAAAGCACAACAAAGCCCACTATAAAAAAATAACTTTTGGGAATACTTTGTAAAAACGAAAAGAACACTGTAAAGACGAGGCGCGACAATTAGAATACCTTTATTATTTGATACTTGTCATACGTACTCATGACGTTACCTTTCTTTCGTTAAATATCCTTGTTCCCATTACCGCAAATAAGTAACGAAATAGCGCTACCGGATAGTTCATTAAGCCTAACACGTTAGTGAGATTCGTTACCGTCACGCAAATAATGGTTACCGGACTACTTCCTGAAAGTAACAAACTTTACTTCTGCGTTTGTATTACGTTAGATTCGACTTCAATATTATTATTTGCGAGAAATAAGAAGTGGATAGAAGCCTGAAAACAACTGAACCGTTACACAATGATTTCATATCTTTTGTTTACCGATTTTGTAGAATACAGCGTGGGTCCCGGAGGCGCACTGTCCTTTAGAGACCGCCAGTGTAACTAATTTTATTTAAAAGTAACCAGTGACAAATGGAATATGCCGCAAAATAATAACGGAATTACTTGATTCGTTAATGTTTTAGGATGCTTTAAAGACTTGAGCGTGTTGGTGATTTGCATTGACTTAAAACGAAAGAAACACACAAGAGGACGTCGGTGTCATCTGTTTCGTCCTCTTGTGTGTTTCTTTCGTTTTAAGTCAATGTTTTAGGATTCTAACGAGTTACGTTAGTACGTTTGTTAACGCGCTATTAGTAACGCCATTACTTGTAACGTCTTGCTTCTAACACTGTCAGATAGTATATACCAGCCACCCCAAATTAACAACCTTACAACAATACAGTTCAAGGATTATATCGCGTGCTTACCGTTTCTTTGGCCCGTTCCTTCACGCTCCGGCGTCCACGAAGAATGGCAGACGACTGGGCCTTCCGCCGCATGACAGCTGGCAATGATAAGGGGCGGTCAAAGTGCGTCAATCGATGTGACCTTGCGAAAAAAAGCAGACGAACTCGCTCTTCACATCTCGGGCGTCTACGGTGGCGAAGCGCCGTCGCAGCATAGATAAAAACGACTACTACTTCCGGAAAGGGTCGTTTTGCCGCTAGCTATAGTTAAAAAAATAAGTTTTATTGCTCAAGTTCTGCGTGGCAAGAGCTAAACTAATTTTTGTTTAGGTTTGCTGCATCTGAAACGACACTCCGCGCCCCTGGCATGCTTTTATGTCTTTGCTAAGAACTGGGCACACTCATCATGCGTTTCCAATGAACTACCAATGTTTCCGTACGCACACTTGACGATGACGGTGCATATTTGGTAGGTTGAGCCAGCGTCCATGACACACGTGAAGACTTGAAATCAGCTCGTCAACATTATAACGATTTCTTCAGAAACTCGTTCTTTTTTTTTTGTCAGCTCGTAGAAATTAGAGTTGAGGAATATCACAGTCATTCCAAAGCAGCATAACGTCGCTTTCCGGTGTCTTCCGTATTATCCATTTCTTCATCCTCTCCAGTTGCTCCGTCGAAAAGTGATTCCTCCAGTCTCCGACTACCCCCTTCCGTACAAAATCGCCCGTCATCGGCTTCGTAAGCGCGACCCTAATCAGCTCCTCATAGCTTTCTGACGTCCCCTGGGCACTGCTCGAAGCCTTCGACGCATTGCCATGTTTGGTACTAAGTGACCTGTTAAAAATCTTCTTCATGCTTTCGACGCTTGACAGGCTTATAACCAGCCTTAGTGCTTGCGGGTCACGTCTCAGTCGCTCCCCATACTCTTCTCCCACGAAGTCGGCCATCTTGAGCACCCAGTGTTCGGTGTCTGTCTTAAAACCTTCATACGTCAAGAACAAAACGTTTGGGTCTTCTCGATGCTCGTACCAGGGAAGCAGATGGTCGAAGTAATCGCCATACTCCCCTTGTCCCTCCACAAACATGTCGAAGAACTGGTCGAAACAGCCGTCTTCGTAGAGGTACGCTGGAAAAGCTTTGGTGTGATGGTAATACGAGACGCAACAGTCGTAGGGGTTCCTCGCGATGAAGACATACTTCGCCCGTTCGGAGTATCGAAGCATGGACAACGGAAGGTGCGTCTTGATTGCCCACGGTCTGTCAGGATACACGTTCGCGATGCCCTGGGCCCCGGCGCTCTCCAGTACGGGCATCTTGTGCTCGAATTCAGCGATGCTCTTAGGAGGGACACCGCCACTGAAGATGCTCCAGAGGATGTACTGTGTCCAGGTGGTTCCGGACTTAGGGTAGCCTGCCACGAAGATGTCACCCGGTTGTGGCTCATATGTGAGGGCAGAGCGGACGCTGTCTCCGCTGAAGAAGTACCCTAGCAGAAGGCCCTCCACGCGCCTGTAGGCTGGCGGACTCGTCGCCGAGGCGCTCATGGCCTTCTGGTATCTGGCAGCAACAGCGGAAATCGAAGGAGACAGACGTGAGCGACGCAGATAAGTGACTCGAGTGGGAAGCCTCGGGTCAAAGAAAGGTTTCCTTGCGGTATCGGAATCCGTCTTTGGTATCTATTGAAGATAAGTCGCTGCTAGAAGTGACTGCCAAACACAGCAGTCGTAGAGGTTCTTGCGAAGGGAGGACTCTGGATCTGGAAGCTAGTCTCTTCCTAGCTCGCAAACTACAAAAACTCTAAAAAATTCATGTACGACATCGGCGCAGTGCATACTCTCGCTTCCCAAAATACGCAAGATAAAGTAGTCAAGAGGATTCTCCGCCACCAAAAGGAAATTGAAAGCGTGGAGCAGAGGTCGTATTATTTCGCAGCTATTTAGTGAAGCAGTCGATTCCGAGTTCAGAAGCATTTGATACGGCGGCAGGGCAATTGTCTCGCGACAGGCGGTTCACCAAGGGCTAGAAGCCGACATCTATCGGTGTCACTCATCAAAAACACCATACCTGCGCGATCTGCTTCACTTGCCCAGGTCCTACGCTGACGTCAAGGAGGAGAGCGTCTGAGGATCTGGAGTGTGCCTGCGCCTTTTAGTTTTTACGTTACCTATAGGTTATCCTAGCCCGGGCAGGTGACGAGATCTAATGAGGGCTGTTGAGTGTTTGTATGCCATCGGTGTAGCTTAATTGTCCTACTTTGACCTAAAGACAATCGCTTGTGACTGCGTCCCATAGGAAAGCCAGCACTGCTTTGAAAGTCCTCTGACACGTCCATCGGGTTCCGTCTGAGATGTCTACTGTTGTTACTGGGATGCCATAGTTGATCCTTTGGTTCACCACACACTGCTTGGCGTGTTTCATACTTTGGGTAGACACGTAGGATATGACTGGCTCTTCTGCATCACAGTGGTGGCATCTTGGGTTCCGTCCTTTTCCCCAACCAGATCAGGAAGGCGTTCGTGCATGACGTACGTGTGCATGCCGCGCAAGTTTCCGCCGCCCGAGATATATATAGACATGGGACATCTTGGTTATGGCCGATTTTGCTTGTCGAGGTGCAAACGGACGTCGAGTCTCACTAACTGTAGGTTAGCAGGCGTGACTACAGGAGGTGTTGTAAGATGCGCTGCTGTGGCTAGGATATCTGCATGTTCATTTCCTCTAATGCGAGCATGCCCTGGGATTCATTGAAGAGAATCTGTTGATCCATGCGTGCTTCTGCAAGTCACTTTTTTTGAGAGAGAGCGAGCCCTTTGACATCCGAACCGTCGGGACATAGCCTCCTTTATTCTTAATAAAAGCCTGAAAATTTCGCGACGCAGCCATAGAGTACCCGGCCGCCGGAAAAAGGCGAGGATTGGCGCCGAACGGTTACCGATATACCGATATGGTAGAGCAGAGCCACTGCCAGCGCCACGCGGCGGCCTGCGGCCTCTCCGCGAAACACATTTGCGTTTGTATGTTTGCATTACTTCCGAGATCATAGTCTACCCCCAGGCGCGGTCAGCCAAGGTCAGCAGGTCAGCGTGGTGAGAAAAGGCGGTGCATAGAAAAACGGGAGAGGGGTCGACGCTAAATTTGCTCCTTTCCCGAAAGAAACAAAACAAAATGGAGCGCGTCCCCGTTTTCTGAGTTTACCGCTGGGGTATTGTTTGGCGCTGCCTGACCGGCCCCTTGCACGCGCTCTCTTCCGTGATCTCCTTTTTCCTTCACAGCGGCCACAAAATGAAGGAGGCTAAGGTCGGGAGCTTTCCCCCAGTTTCGCCGGGTGCGCCGGAGTGCCATCTCTTGGCCAGGAGGGCAAACGGCAGTCGGGATCGGAGCTCTCCCGACACGCTCCGTGGCGACACAACCATTTGATCGCGTCTGGACATGAAAATTCCGGGAAACCAAATTTTCACGATTTTTATAATCGGCAAAGAAGCAGGCGTGCGTTCGACACCGTACGGACCGCACGCTTCAAACAGTACGGCCACGCTTCTTTGCATCTTTTGAGCCTGCCACACATGTTTGCTACAAAAAGACACGCCGTTTGCTGCTGACATGATGGCAGCATTATCTGCGGTCACCGCCTCAAGCATGTTTGTTCCATACACGTCTGCTTTGAACATGTCTGCAAGGCATTTTTTGAGCGACCAAGTTGACTGTCATACAAAAAATGCGCCTCAGATAGTGTATGGAGATTGTCTCTTGTATAATGTATTAGCATAGCCTTATATATACTGACAAAGGCTGGCAGATCGCCACGAGAAGCAGCCGCCGGAACGGAAAAGGTGGAGCAGCAAACAACGGATGAGAGGAGAGCGACGTGACCGGCGCCCCGCTGCGGCGAGAGGCCGAAACACACTTCTCCCGAGCGAACGAGTGTGTTTCGGGTCCTCGCCGCTGCAAAAGCTGTGCGCTGACATCTAAATTTCCCTAGTAGGCACCCTAAATTTCCCGAGGAATGTCTCTTTGATGCTCTGTGCTACCAGATCCTCGCGCTCCATATATGCGATATCGGGCACTCTAGGGATCCGTCGTCGAAATGCCAGGCTTTGTGAGTATAGGGAGTATTCACTGGCGGCCATGGCTGTGTGCATGAATGCTGATCGCGTGCTGATGGCGAGCTTCCAAAGTTATTTTGCAACGTGCATTCCGCACCATCAAGAGTGCCGGTCTTAGCGGCCTACTGATGTGAGCTCTTTCTGAGCATGCGCTCTAAACAGCACCCACAAATATGGCGCCCAGTGAATACTCCCTATAGAAAAAAAGGCAATGGTATTGGCAATTGTGACCGTGGCGTTAAGTATATAGGGCGAGCAAATGCGAATACATATCGTGCGTACGTCTTATCCGCAGTTCCAGGGAATGCTTAATCTGTCGGTCGTGACGGGTAGGCGGCTGGAAAGCGTGGCCGACTTGGCGAAGTAAGCGAGCCGTACGTACTGCGTTATTTCGTCTACCGGGACACCTAATGCGGCTTAAAACGCCAGCGCGTCACGTGACCGGAGATATATAAGGAAGTGGCACTCAGTCCGCGTTCGTCACAAAATGCATCGACTGGATTACGCCGTCGTCCTTCTCTCTTGCATGCAAAGGGAAAAAAGGAATTTTTTTTTTTTTTCTGAGCGTGACAATGAGTGAACGAGCTTTAGTTTTTCTTTTTACGTGCGATACATTTTTTTACACATTTACGCTATTTCATGTCTGTCCAAATTTAGCCCCGGGAGTTTCGTTTTATTGTATTTTATTATATTACAAAATAAAAACAAACTGCAGGTTTCGTTTTGTTATGCATTACACCGGGTAAAATATTACGGGATGTATCAATTGTGTTCTTGGCGTGCACGTGGCGAAGGAACTGAGAAAGCTTGCCGTCAGCACGAGCTCAGCAGCCGTGAATACTATAACCGCCAGTGAATACTCTCCATACTACGTAAATATAGCGTATTTTTTTCTTCTTTTTAAATTCAGGCACTGAAAAACACTCCGCATTACACCCGTTTGAAACTGTCTCTCTGTTTAATAAAAAACATGTACTTCTTAAATTATAGCTGTAGACGAACGAGAGAGGTAGAATAGAGTGATACCACTCAACTCGAATCCCGTTGTTGTATAGAGAAAAGCACAGTCGACCCCACGTTGCACCGCGCGGCGCAGGGAATCGTGGGGCCGTTCGGGCGTACAATCGGGCGGGCTTGTACGTTCCCTGCATCCTGAAAGTGGCGCAAAAGTCTTTTCGCGAAAATCCCACAATGCCTCTCGTTAATCCCACATTGCACCGCGCAACGCAGGGAATTGTGGGGCCGTTCCCGACGTACGCTCGGGCCGGCTCGTAAGCTCCTGAAATTGGCGAAATTTCTTCTTTTTACCATGGTGAGTTCAGAACACAAAGAAAGTAGAGCGAACACATCTCAAAGCCGGCCCTGCTTTGTTATCGCCCTGCTTTCTTTGCGTTCCGAAATCGCAAAATACTGAATCAACACGAACCGCTCCTTCAATTCATGGGTACTTTTTCGCGGGATCCGACTGCCCTAGAGCGTCGAAAAAACAATGGGAGGTACTGCGTATATATTTCCAGAAGGGCCTACTGCATCGTGGGGAAACATACATTTTAAAGGTTGAGTAAATGGTAACCCAGCTTTCGTGGTAAATAAAAACGTACACCTTCTTTTTTTTTTTTTTTCTTTTTTGTTAACGAGGCATTGTTAACGCAGCAACCGACGGTCCTCTTCCATACACTGTGGGATCGCCTCAGAACGCGGTCGAAGAACAGATACGTACTTGAAAGGCACCACCTCGCCAAAAGCAAGTGTGGCGAAGGTTCGCTTGCATTTCTGCCAAATGCCGTGAGATGGCGCCACACGTAAGGGGCCGATGAGAGCCAATCGACGAGCCGCCCTTATTCGTGCACACGTCTGCAAGCAAGGCCGCGCGGCGCGCGTCCGCGCCTGCCCGAGGGCCTCGAACCGGCAGTGCCCTTCTCTGGAGTTGCACGAAGTTCGATCACCGGATTCTTAAGCCGCAGTCCCAACACGATGGTAGAACTGTCTGCGGTCACGCCTCAAGCTTGTGCGAAGCATGTTGGCTTCACACACTTGTATGTTTTGAAGATGTCTGCAGAAAGTTCTTGTATGACTAATCAGTTGTCAGGAAAGCCGTACAAGAAGGAAACACGCTTCAGACACTGTCTGGAGATTGCGCTTTGTCTGATGTATGAGCAGTGGAACCGCGGCTTTAGAATCACTAAGGCAATCTGCGTGGACGTCGGGGGCGCTTCGTTGCACTCGTCGTACCATTCCGTGGACCCTCGTCCAAGGCACACACGTCCCTCCCGGTGGGACACACTCCTTCGCGGGACACGTCCGACACCCGCGACTTGACCCGGGAACGCTGATGGCGACGGAGCGCACTGGCGATGTGTTCCTGCCTGGTCGTCGGGTCGTCTTGGTACGCGAAGGCCACGAGGAAGACGTGCAGGATCGGCTCTGCGGGCGGGTTGCGCTCGTCGATGGCGAACGACGTGGTGTTGTTCACGG